CATATTTTAAATTAATTTAATATATGTCGAAAAGCAATTCAACAAAAGTGGCTTTAGTTTGCTTGAAAACATCTTAAAACATTACAAATTAATCATTACTTCAAGTTTTTGGAAAGCATGGTAAAATCACAAAGGTAAGATAAAGTTTGAATTAACATAGATTTTAATTTTCGAGTAAGGTCCAATGCAAACTAAGGTTTTTATTGAATATGAAGATCCTGAATAAGCTTAGGATGCTATCAAGTAGGGATTTAAGTTGATTTAGCTGTTTAAATAATACAAAAGTGATGAATAATATAATTTGCAATGTTTATCCTTCCAGACTTAGAGAACTGAAATTAGATAATGTACCAAATACAAAAGGAATGGATTTAACTTAAAAGTTACCTTTTAGTATGCCATCATTATGGGATTTGAATGTGAATGAAGATGAGTCTGCATAACAAGTATCAGAAGAGAAACTTGTTGATATTAGAAAGAAGCTTAGTATGATAGATGATGAGATAAGTCGAACTATTGAGAATAAATTAGACAATGCTTTAATCAAGTTGTATCAACAGACAAAGTGTTTAAGAGTTCTTATGGGAAATTATCAACTTGATGAGATCTTGCATAAAACTAGCAAATATGGCAAAATAGTACACCTCCTGCCACTCCATTAATTTAGGTTTACCTGAAGCAAGCATAATAGGAAGTTTACGTGAAGTATGACTCAGATAAAGAGTGTTTATAAGCCTATGAGGAGCTCAAAGACCAAATGATTGTGCAAATCAAGTACAATTTCGAGAGCATCCCTGGCTACGTGATGGTTAACTCAAATTATTGAAACATCCTCTCTCAATTTATAATTTATTTAATTTAATGTGGTTGCATCCTGAAACTATGATCAAACTTGGTAATGAGTTCTTTCAAAAGAAAGAATTTGATTAGGCTATCAATTGGTATTAATAGTCTATAAACAAAAATACACAATTTGTAGAAGGATACTATAATTTAGGATTGGTATATATGTACCGTAAGAAATTTGATGAAGCTATTAATTACTTCAAACAATCCTTAGATTTGAGGCCAAGCTTTCCTGAAGCCTTATGTAGTATGGGAATAGCATTGTATAACCTCAATCAAGTAAGTGTGTCTGGCCATAGTATACTAGTATGAAAAAGCCTTGAACTATTTAGATCAGGCTCTTAAGCATCGCTAATCCTTCCCAAATCCTTTGAAATATAAAGGAGATACTATAAGGAAAATGGGCAATTTATAAGAAGCAGTCATTTAATATAAATAAGCAATATCATTGAAAGTAACTGTTTTCCTTAACATTCCTTATAGCCTGACTTTTACTAAGCTCATAAAGCTCTTGGAGATACATATAGGAAACTGAAAGAATACAAATTATCAATCTAATCCTATGATAATGCATTAGAATATAATTAAAAATATGCAGAAGTTTTCAAAAAGAAGGCAGATTCTTTGAGAAATCTTGAGATTTTTGAAGAATCATTACAAAATTATACAAAAGCAATAGAAATTAGACCAAATTATCCAAAGGCTTATAATGATGCAGGGTTGCTATTTATTTAGAATGGTAAATATAAAGAAGGAGTTGAATACTTTTAGAAAGCAGTTTAATTGAAATAAGATTATAAGGATGCTTATAATAATTTGGGTGTTTGTTATTATCATCTATTATAATATCAGGATGCTATTACTTAATTCGACACAGCTCTTTAAATATAAGTAGGTTTTACAATCCCAATGTTAAATAAGGCATCAACATTATTAAGAATGAAGAAGTATGATGAAGCAAATAAATGTTTTGATTAAGTTATGAAACATTAACCAAAAAATGTATAAGTTTTATTGGGTAAAGGAATTTCTTTATATGAAACCAAAAAATATGAGTAAGCAGCTTTGTTATTGAGTCAAGCTTATGATATTGATAGTAATAACTTTGAAGTTGTTTTCAATTATGGAGTTTGTAATTTCTAATTAAAAAAATATAAAGAAGCCTTATAATTATTATAAGAGGCTTAATAATTAAGGAATACATTGGAAGGACACTTTAATTAAGCAATTTGTTCATTATATCTAAAAAACTATGAATATTCTAAAAAGGAAATCGATATGTATGTAGTTCATTAGGAAGATGATATGGAGGCTAAAGCAGTCTAAGGAATAGTAGAGTATTATTTAAATAATCTTACTTTTGCTTAGGAATGCTTCTAAGAGGTTTTGAAGAGATAGGAGAATTAAGTTGTTCATAATAATCTTGGAGTAATCTTATTGTTAAATTAATAATTTGATGAGGCTTTGAAACATTTTAATGCATCTGTTTCAGGTAAAGGAGATTATGCTGATGGTTTATATAACAAAGGAGTTGCATTATGTAATTTAAATTAGTATGAGGATGCTATCAGATAATTTAATAAAGCAATTTAACTTAAACCTAAAAATGAATGTAAATTCGCATTCATTAATAGGGGAATATGTTTAAAAAATCTTAAGAAATTTAATGAAGCCATATAAAATTATGATGAGGCCATTCAACTTAGTTAAGGTACTGATGTAGAAGATATCTATTACTTTAAAGGGAATTGTTTATTGGAATTGAATAAGTATGAAGATGCTATTTAATTATATGATCAAGCCATTTAACTTGAAAGTGTTTACAGTTCATCAGCTAATTTCTAGAAGGGTATTGCATATACCAATCTTAAACATTTTGATGATGCTATTCAATCTTATTAACATGCAATTGAATAAAATTCTTAGAATTCTTGGGCTTATTTCAATTTAGGAATTACTTATTACAATCTAGAAAATTATGAATAGGCTTTAGTATAATTCACAAGATCTTTTGATATATAACCAACTTTTAAGGATGCTGTATTTAATGAGGCTGCTGCTTATATAAAATTAAAAAGATATGCTGAAGCTATTAATAGTTTAGATAAATACAATCAATTAGATAACAATGATTACGAGAGTTTCTTTTTAAAAGGTTGTTTATTAAAGTAATTGATGAAGTATGAAGAAGCTTTAGAATGCTTTTCAAAAGCGGTTTAATTAAAACCAAATTTCTTTGAAGGATAATTTAATAAAGGAGTTGCTCAACTTGAGAGTGGATTGTCCAAAGAAGCTGTAATTACATTTGATGCTGCATTCAAATTAAAGTCTGACTCAGAGAAATCCCTTAATAATAAAGCTGTTTCCTTACTTAATTTAAGCAAACCTGAAGAAGCTATTAAAGAATTAGAAAAGGCTATTAAATTAAGTCCAAACAATCCTACTTTGTTAAATAATAAAGCAGTTACTTTAATCGATTTAAAGAGATAGGATGAAGCATTGACTATACTAGATGAAGTTATCAATATTGATCCAACTTTCTTCAAGGCATATAATAACAAAGGAACAATCTATTTTAATTAAAAAAACTTAATGTAAGCCAAATAATAATTTTCAAAAGCAATAGAGATCAATCCTGAATATGATTCTGCAAGAATTAATTTGAGTATTACATTTTAGGAAATGGGTGAATATTAATTTGCAGTTTAATAATGTGAATTAATTTCTAATTAAAAATGGTTAAATAGTAATTCTGAAGCATTGATAGCTTTTGCTACTGCTTTGAGAAATTGTGATCGCTTTGAAGAGGCTAAATAAAAATATGAATTATCATTATAATTGAATCCTCGTCATTCATAAGCATAAAATGGATTGGGAATAGTATATTCAAATATTGGTTAATATGAAGATGCTCTTAAATGTTATGATTAAGCTATTAATCTTAATAATAGATATCCAGAAGCATTAAATAATAAGGGAGTTACACTCTATCTTATGGGAAGGTATGATGAATCAGTTTAAATGTTATAATAATCTCTAAAATTGGAAGTCAAAAATGCATAAACTTTAAATAATTTAGGTGCTTCATTATTTTATTTAAAAAGATATGATGAAGCCAATAAAATATTTGATTAATCCATTTAATAGAATGATTAATTGATGGAAGCATAAGTTAATAAAGCTAATGTACTAATAGCATAAGAAAATTTAATTGAAGCAAATAAATTATTATAGAAAGCTAGTTAAATAAAAGACTCTCCTTATATTCATAATGCTTATGGAATCATAGCTTAAAAGTAGAAACAAACTGAAAAAGCCATCTCATCTTATTAAATGGCTCTTTAATTATTACCTACCTTCCCTCAATGTTAATCAAATCAAGCTACACTTCTTATTGAAACTGAGAATTATTCATAGGCATTCGATTTACTTAAATAAGCTTTAAGGGTTGATTAAAATAATGCTGAAGCTCATAATAATCTAGGTGTATTATATTATAAATAAAACAAACTTGAATTATCATAAAATGAATATATGGAAGCAATTAAATTGAAAGTTCATAATCCTGAAGCCCATTCAAATTAGGGAGTTATTTTTTGTGCCAAATAGGATTATTCCTAAGCATTATAATGTTTTGATGAAGCCATAAAATTGAAGAGTGATTTTGTCAAAGCTTATCATAATAAGGGAACAACTTTGTATGAAAAAGAAAACTTTAAGGAGGCAGTTGAGATTTATGATAAGGCTATTAAAGCTAAGACATAAGATCCAGAAACTTATTATAATAAAAGTATAGCTTTACAAGGTTTAGAATAGTTTGATGATGCTTTAAATGCTTTAGAATAAGCTTATAAATTAGCACCTGAAATGGCTCTATTGTATGTTGAAAAGGTATTTTTTGATATTTATCATTATAGGGCACTCTCATGTATAGGAAAGGTAAGGTTGATGAGGCAATTAAGAATTATGATTTAGCCATACAATTGCAACCTAATTGTGCAGAAGCTTACTATAATAAAGGATGTGCTTTGGAGAATCAAGGAAAGATTGATGAGTCTAATAAGAACTATGAAAAGGCTTTTCAAATAAAACCAACTTTAGTTGAGAAAAAGAAATGATATATATGGAATTATTATTATATTATTTACATTAAGATGTCAAATGATTTTGAGATCAAGCGTTCTGGACTTTCAGTTTCAACTTCATCCTTTGATGCATTTTGTGAGGAATTAAAAAGAAATAATAGTAAAATAGAAGGTCATCCATTAAGAGGATGGATGAAAAAAAAGAGTCCAGCAATCTTAAAAGGATGGCAAAAGAGATATTTTATGTTGATTGAAAATCCTTAAGATAAAAGTTGGAAATTAGTGTATTTTGATAATGATGTAAAAAAACATATTGTGAATGTAGAAAACTGATACAAGACCCAATGGAGCTTTTGATGTTTCAACTATTACATCAATTCAATAAGTATCTAAAAAAGAATTTACCATTCATTTCCCTGGAAGGAAACTAGAATTGAAAGTTAAACCACAAGAAGTTTATTAATAGTGGATAAATACTTTGAATGAACTTCGATTAGCTACTAATGTAGAAAGAACTAAAAGATAATTGAGTGCTGAATAAGTTGTTAAATTATCAAATGACAGTCCAACCAAAGGTATAAATAAGTATTATTAATTTAGTGTCTTCAAATCATAAGATAGTTGATAATCTTACTGTATAGTAAGCATAAGTGTAAAAGGAGAAACAACGTAATTCAATATTAATTGAACCAATAAAAGAAATTAAGAAAAAGAAGGAAAAGGAAAATCTAAGTCAATTATCAAATGAAAAGATGATTGAGTTAGTCGGATTGAAAGAATTTATAAAGAATATGAATGAATAATTCATATATTAAAGAATGATTTATGGATATTTAGGTAAGAGAAGTAAAGGAAAAGTCAAATATTTTTAGAAAAGATGGTTCATTTTGGTATCTGCTAAACCTTTGGTATATTTTGTTATTATTGTTCTAGTATTCTGAATACAATGATGAAAAAATCTTGACAGAAGCATAATTACCTCCTTGGTTGGAATTGGATACAATTACTTATTTTAAAGAGAAAGAAGAAGGCAAACCTCCAAAAGCTAAAGGTGATGTGCGTATGATTGATTGTTAAGAAATTATAATGAAAGATATGTCAAAATCTAAGGAGAGTGGATTTACATTCAAATTGAATATGGGAGATAGATTATATCATTTAATGGCTGATACAGAATAAGAACGTAAGAAATGGCAATAGGCTTTAAATTTATCTATTAGAACTACTAAGGAAATTCATAATCCTTTAAAAATAAAAATAAAAAAAAATATAGATCCTATTATATAATTATATGATGAAGAACCTTAATTGATTACAAGAAGAGAGAAAATGAAAATAAAATTAGAAAAAGATCTTTCTTAAATTTTGATTTAGGATGATTAAAATATAACAATATTAGTAAAGTAACTAAGTGAATTGAGATAAGATATGTTAGAATCTATGTAAGCATGTATTGTGAAAGATCCATAAAGAAAAGATATCATAAAAGAATATACAGATATATATCATGAGAAGATTTGTGAGAGAATCTCAGCATTCTGGGATTTAAATTATAAATAAATGCAAGTATTTTACACTAAAATGAATTTTAGTCACCTGAATTATTAATTTTAGCATAATGGTTAAATGATTATTTAAATTAGATGAAAGATTTCTTTAATGATGATAGAATAATTTTTGGAATTAGAGTTCTAATTAATATATATGTAAATAGATCCCTTGAAAATTTAGAATCTGTAATAAATTCTATTATAGAACAAGAGAAAACATAAGAACCTATTTTTAATGATTAATAATTATTGATTACATAAACACCAATAGATTTATTCAAAATAATTAATGAATCATTTGATATGGCATATAAATTATGTCCTTGTAAAGAAACTAGTTTGAAATTAGGTGGATTTGGTAAAACAATTTTATAATAATATTAATATGGAATATAAGAGATGATAGATGAAATATAATTATCAACACCTAAATTAATAGCTATTTGTAATAATACATTAGCATTACATGATAATACTAAGAATTATACTAAAGTACTTTAATAAGTTGGTAATTTGAATGAAGAAGAAACTGAAAAAGTATTTGATGGTCAAAAAATAACAAAAAATTTTGTATAAATAGCTAACAGTTGTAGAGATAAGATATTTTTCTTTTATTTCAATCGTGTTGGTTAATATTTTAAAAAATCATTTCTCGAACTATAAATTATTGATATTCTCAAAAGTATCATTGAACCAGCAACTGAAACACTATCTTAATTACATGATAGTTTTAGTAGAAAATTATGGAAATAATTATTAGATTCAATTGTTCTTTATTATTTTAATTAATTCATTATATCTTGTGGAAAAGCTAAAAAAGAAAATCAAAAAGATTTTAATAATAAATTAGAAAATGATAAAGATATTTTAGTTTAAGAATTAGAAACATTCATTTTTGAAAAATAATTACTTGCTTCATTAAAACCATTTGATGATATGATTAATTTTATTAATGAGGATTCTCTCAGTATTTTAGATCCATGTAAAAATCTAAGAATGTATTTTGGAATCCCATTTTCAGAAAAAACAATTAAAACTATTATGTGTATTAGATTTGATTTGGATAAAGAAAAAAAGAAAGAAACAATAGAAATCTGTAAAAATTTAATTGATGACATTAATAAAAATGAACCTGTTGAACATCAAAATAGAATTATGGATGTACTAGGTTAAGAGGAAGAAGAAAATACAGAACAAACTTTAAATCAATAATTATAATAGATTTAATAATAAGAAAATAGAAGAGCAGATATATTTCTTGATTTTCGTAATGATGATTAATTATAAGTAATATATATATAAATTAGATACCTCTATAATAAGAATAAAGAAATTCAATAGAAAAAAAGGAATTTATTGATGAAGGTTATTTAAATAAGAAAAAACCTAAATAAAAAGGATGGGATTATAGATATGTTAGAATAAGAAAAGGATTTATGTATTGGTATATTAATGCCAATTCTAGAGAAGCTTAGAATAAAATTAATTTATAAAGTGTAGATGAAGTTATTCCTAATATAAAAAAACCAGCTAATTTCAAAATTTAATTAGAAGATTCAAAAATTTATAAATTTAAAACTTAGAGTAAAGAAGAATGTGAATTATGGATTAAAACAATATTGAAAGAATAAAATTAATTAGATTCAACTGTAATCACAATAGAAGCAATAGTAAAATTATTTAATATTTAGAAAATTGGTAATGGCAAAAAGGCAATTATATAAGATTATGATGAAATAGCTAGAAAAGAAAGATAATTATAAAAACAAGAAGAACGAAAGAGAAAGAGAATTGAAAGAGAAAATGAGTAATAATCTTTATTAATTATAATAGAATTAAAAGAAAATAACAAGAACAAAAAATGTTGTAATAATAATAGTTAAAGGAATTGGGAGATAAAACTAAACCTCATTAAGTAGAAGTATTTGAATAATAGAGTGAACCAGTAAACATATATTAATATTATTAGAATTACAGTTAGAAGTAATCAACTTCTTGCTGGACTCAATTTTTGATAGCATTAGGAATAGAGAGACCTAAATGATATAATAGTAACTATTCAAATAAACTCATGTTGTCTTTATTCATATTACAATTACTATTATAGGAAATGTAATCTTTGCATTAATATTAATTCTTCTTATATGAGTTCTTCTATTACAGGATCTTTCATTAAATTAAATTCTGGTTTCTATGTAGTTTCTTTTAATTCTGATTAGAGTATTGAATTACTTTAACTATAACTTAATTATGAATAAATTTCCATTTTCTTTATTGGTGTTACATATTCCATAGATGAATCTTCATTTATGAATTATGGGAATTATGAAGTTGTAATAAGTTCTTATTTAGGTTCTTCAAATTCTTAATCTATAGGTTTTTCAATCTTCTATGATTTAGGTGGTTTAAAAGTATCTCTTATTCTCTTGACTTCATCTTTAATTGAAGATTCTTTTTTAGGAGATGGCTCTTTTGATGGAATAATTATATTTTCTTCAGGTTCTGTTATTTATGTTTCTTATTTTAAATTTTAAATTAATATTTCTTCTTTTTACTTTTTTGACTAATTTTATGGAATCTTCATTTTAATCTATTATATAATATCTTATTATTTAGGTTATTCTATTTTCACAGGAGATTATTTCTTTTCAGGAGTTTACTTTTAAGGATTTTATGTTTTCATTTGAATTTTTTCTAAAATGCTATCAATTTCTTATATAATTGGAGTAGTGTCTACTAATTTAGGAGATTATAAAGGTGTAATTGATGTAGGAGATTATTATGTTTGTAAACTTTATTTTGAATTAACAATTCTAATAACTTGATCAGTCATTTATGATGTAACAATTGATTGTTGAGGAGAGACTATAGTTTCAACATTAATTTAATGATTTTTCATAAATTGACTTAAGAAATCTAAATTTTCTTTCCGCTTGTTTTTAGTGTAATCTAAAAACTCTGAAGACATAAATAATAATTATTTATAAATAATATAATATTAAATTATATTGCTGAAATATACTTGATATTTAAAGAGATTATTTTTATATAAAAAAGAAATTTATTTTATGTATTTACAATTGTTCTTATTTTGAAATTTATGAATAGATCTCATTCTCAAACAATTATATTATATATATATGTAATTTTAAAATCTCTTTCTAATTAGATTAATAAATATTTAATGTTAAATAATATTTAGAATTATTAAGAATTCTATAGGTATGAACATAAACCTCTTAATTTTTTTAATGTAAAATTAATAACATTAAAGTTCAGTTTTATATGTTATCTTTATGTATAATTATTTTATATATAGAGAGATTTTATTCATTAATTAATATTTTATAAATGGAATAGAAATGGGATATGTACTATATTCAAATAAAACTGATAGACTAAGAACTTTGAGTGGCAAAATAAAAAAAATACTCAACAAAGCTTAAGATTAATTTCAAGAGAGACATTCAAATATATAACAAGGTTACATTACAGATTTAAGATAATATTGTAGGATTGTGACTGCTTGTGAAGAGCAATTGATACTAAATTTGAGTGATTATAACTTAGAATTTATTGGTGAACTTATAAAAGTAAACAATTTTTCTATATTAAAATAGACCTTATCAGGATTTCATCTTTTATTGATTTCAAATCTCCTGAATTGGATTTAATAATTTGAATTATTATTGACTCCTCATTCAGGTAATCTACCATTCGAACATCTCCTTGAATAAAGTCGAAAACATAAAAATAGATTCAACAACATTAATGAAAGTGATGCAGCCAAACATATGAATGAACTACATGAATCTATTCAATCTCTAGCCTAAAATAACAAGTAAATAATTGACAGTCATAATACTGATATATAAAATCCAAATTCTGTTGATATCATTGATTCAGTTACACAATAACTTCGAGACAATATTAGAAGTAATTCTAAATCCAATTCCAGAATAATATTATAAAAATTATTGTCAAACTAAAAGAATAAAAATAGCATTAATGATTAGGAATAACAAACCATATTAAATTATATGGATGTAGATTATATAGAACAACAAAATCAAGAATTAAGAGTATTTATTGATAATACTATTAAATAATATGAGGATAAATTAAAATAATCTATAATCTAATACTAAGAAGCTAAATTGATTCTCAAAGCATAAAAGATTGAACTTGAACATTAATCCACTTTATTAGAAGCATAAAATGAATTATTTAAATAATATCAAGAAAAAAAACCACAATAAACTCTAACTCATTTTATATAAGTACCTACTATTGCTGATAAAAATAAAAGATTGTCAATTGATAAACAATAGAAATTTCTATTTACAAATATGAAATTAAGATCATCATCTCTTCCTAGAATTGATGGAAGAGATGAATCCATTATGAGAAATTCATTTACAAAAATTGGTGTTTAATTATCTAAGAATTTAATTCCAACTTAAGATGTGATTGAGAATTTCAAAAAATATTAATAATCTCATGAATTTAAAGAAAAGGTTGCTAAAGTTTGTTCATAAGTACAAGTTAAAGTACCAGTTGATGAATTATAAAATGAATCAATATCTCATGAAAACAGAATAATGATATTCTCAAAACTTTGTTAAGTTCTCAAAGAAAAACATTAATCATGTTTCCCTTAATGTGATCATCTTAATTTTTTATATTGAAAAAACATTCATTTCTTACATTATTTGTTAAACTTTAATAAATAAGATTAAAATTATAAAATTATAAAGAGTTATAAAAATAATATTCATTTAAATTTTTATCATAATATATATTTAAGTGTTTTATTCAAAGATATTTTTCTTTAAGGTTCAAAATTATGAAAAATTTATACAATTTAAAAAGCAAAGATTACTACCTAAGACTTTAATTATTAGTTATTACCTTTATAATATTAAAAAGTTTTGAAAATTATTTATAAATTTTATATAAAAAAGAATGTTTCAAAAGGATAGTTTATAAGATCGTTTAAAATGCAAGATAGAATTTACTTAAGATGAAGAAAAAGTAGAAATAATTAGTCTGAAAAGTAGTATTGATGATACCATAAGATTCGAGGATAAATATGAATAATAAGAAATTTTGGGTATTGAATATGAAAATTTTTAGGATAGGGAGCACATGCAATAGTTAAACTGGCTAAAAGAAAGGGAACAAATGATATATTTGCAGTCAAAATTATGAGAATGAACAATGAAGAAGTTTATAATAATGTAAAAAGAACATTTTTTAATTCACGTTGTTTAAGACATTAAAATATAATATAAGAATACGAACTTTATATTAATGAAAAATATTATACTGCTAATGTGGTAATGGAATATTGTCCATATCCATCATTAGAGTAAATCTTAAAAGATAGAAGTATCTTAAAAGAAGAAGAGGTGAGAAAAATCATTAAACAATTACTCATGGCAGTAGGACATATACATAGCAAAGGGATATGTCATAGAGATATCAAACCAGATAATATTTTAGTAAACATAATGGGGAATTGTGAATTAAAATTGCTAGATTTTGGAGTTTCTAGTAGATTTATATGGAAGAATCAAACTTATTAAATGATGACTAAAACAGGAAATATATATTATTGTGCTCCAGAGATATATCATTAAAGCAACTATTCCAAAGAGATTGATTTATGGAGTATTGGAGTTATAATGTTCTAATGTTTAACAGGAGAACTACCTTTATAGAATGAAAATATGAGGGATCATATAGAATTATTAGGTAAACCTGAAATGTGGAATTTTAAGAATAAAATAAAAGGATAATCTTTAAATGCTTAAAACATGATATCAAGTCTACTTTTAAATGACCCAAACAAAAGGATTGGATATTTGGATGCTTTAAATCATCCATTTATAGAAAAAAATTAGACTTATACTACGTTATAATCAATATAAATGATTGATGATGAAGAAGAAGACCATGCTAGTTGTGATGAGATATTTTTGAAAAAATGCCAATCTTTCTAACCAAGTTCTTCTGTAAATTAACAGAGTAATATTCATCGAGCATTAAACACACTTCCTTTAGATTAAGAATATTAATAGATTGTTCTTGAAGATTTAATGTTAGAACTTGAAAACGTTCATATAATTTAGAAGAGAAATAGTGATAAATTTACAGGATTTATTTAATTTGTAAATTCACTTGGAAACAGTTAAGGAGTTACAATTAGTAAATATATTGAAGTAAACACAATTAATTAATGCAGTCTTGGAATTGGTTCTACTTAAAGTATAGGTATTATTCAAATTTATAAATTTTATAGAATCCTCTGATCATCATATATAAGATTATTTTGAAGAGTTGGATGACATACAATAAAGTGATGATTTTTAGAATGATATCAAAGAAAATCATTTTTAAGAAAATGTTTACACTTAAAACTCATTTATTAATTAAGTGAGAACAAATAATGAAAAAAGTCAAGAGGTTGACTATTAATAAAATATTGGATAAAATAATAAAATTAATTCTATTATTTCAACACTTGATGTTTTGGGCATGAATTAATTTGATGAAACTATCGAAGATTAAGATTGAATTTTACTTTATTTATCTTTATATTTTCGATAATATTATCATTTATAAATTATGGATTATAAACTAAAATTTATTAATGAGATCTTCAATTCTATTTAAATAATAATTATGATGAGAACATTTATTTATAAAATTATTAATTTTTTCATTAGTAATTCCTCTAATTAAATTGATTTAATAATCTAATGACTGTTTAAATATCATTCTTTTGTATATTATATCTAATGCTCTTAAATCTAGAAATTGAAATAAAGTAGATCACAAATTCATTAATAGCTAATAAAAATTAGATCGTTTACAAGAAAGATTATATATATATATTTTATTATAATTAAATTTAATAATAATTTATATCACAAATATAATTTATGTTAAGAAGATTGATTCGATTCCAATTTTGCTCTTTACAAGATTAAATTAGGAAATAATAGAATTCTTATAGTAATATAACTGATAAAATGATATCATATGTTGGTAGAGATTTACATAAAATACCTTCACATCCTCTAGGTATTATAAAGAATAGAATTGAAACATTTTTTCAAAATGAAGCTATAACAGAGAAGCAAAGTAAATATCCTTTGAAGTACAAAATTATTGATAATCTTTCTCCAATTGTATCAGTAAAGTAGGTAATTTATGTAAATAATTATAAAGAATTTTGATTCATTATTAGTGCCTCCTGATCACCCAAGCAGAAAAAAAAGTGATACTTATTATATTAATGAGAATACTTTATTAAGATGTCATACTTCAGCTCATTAAGTTGAATTAATAGAAAATAATGTTGATGCTTTTGTAGTAGTTGGAGATGTTTATAGAAGAGATGAAATTGATGCAACACATTATCCAGTCTTTCATTAAGTAGAGATTGTCAGAATTTTTTAATAAGATTAATTCTCATCTAAATATTTACAACATTAAATATAAGAATCTATGGATGATTTAAAAGAAACTTTAGAAAGATTGACAAGACATTTATTTGGTGATGTATAAATGAGATGGGTTGAAACTACATTTCCATTTACTAATCCATCAATGGAATTAGAGATTTATTTTTAAGATAAATGGTTAGAAGTACTTGGATGTGGAGTTATTCATTAAGATTTAATGAAGAATTGTTAAGTATATATTTATATAAATTCAGAGACTCACTGAGGTTGGATGGGCAGCAGGTTTAGGATTAGAAAGATTAGCTCTCCTCTTATTCTAAATCCCAGATATTAGATTATTTTGGTCTTAAGATCCTAGATTTCTCGATTAATTTAGAGCTGGTTAAATAAATAAATTTTAACCTTTTAGCAAATATCCAAGTTGTTATAAAGATGTTTCTTTTTATGTTGATCATAAAACATGGGAAGAAAATGATTTGCATTCAATTATTAGAGATATAGGAGGAGATTTAATAGAAAAAGTAGAATGTGTAGATACATTTTACAATAAAAAGAAAGATCTTACAAGCAAATGTTATCGAATTCATTATAGAAGTTTAGAAAGAACACTTTAAAATGAAGAAATTGATGTCTTGTAATTTAAAATAAGAGATTAAATTAAAGATATTTTAAAATTAGAGTTAAGATGAAATTATTATTCATAAATATATATTCAAAGTAATCTTCATATCTAATTAATTAATTTTTTATGATGATTTCTTTTTATAATATAATAATTTAAGGACATATAAACTTTGTTTACAATTATTTACTTTTTATTTAAATTTTAAGATAAATTTACTATATATCATGATATACTGATATATATATTAAAATCTATAATTCAGATTTCAAATTAGAGTCAAATTTGATACTATATTTTATTTTTAATTACTAATTATAATGTAATAATAAAAGAAATCTCAGCCTCCATCTGTTTTAAATAGAACAAGATCTCTAGGAAAATAATAATAATAAAAGCCATAATAATAATAATAACCTTAACAAATTTAATAATAACCTAAATAGGGATTCACTTAATTGCCAAGTTAAAAGTTGACTAATATTAAGACAGTTGATCCTTTCTCAGATAAATCAAAATAAAAAACGTAAATATATATTAATATTCAAGAAATTCATTTGCTTATGTTTACAATGCAGGTGGAATACCTTGTAGAGTTAATCATGGTTGTAATACAATGAAATTATAATGGAATTAAGGAGTCGAAATTGGTCATTTGCCATATGATCCTTTAATGGCTACATGCTTTGAAGGTTTGATTGAAGAAGCACATCCATATTGTTTTATAGCTACAAATGCAATAAAAGATATGCTCAATGAATAAGTTTTAAATTTAAATTTTAAAATGTTTTAGAATGCCTAAGAAAAAGTCATACCTATTTTGGCAAAATTAGTTTGGCCATTAAGAACTGCCTTATCTAGTTAAAACGACAAAGTTTTTATGTCTTCTTTAGAAATTCTAAAGTAACTTCTATAATAATTGATTTAAGATTACTCTCAAATACAATAGGTTCACATCTCAATGGCCACCTTAAAAATCTCTTGGTTCCATTAAGTAAAAGGATGGATAAAAAGAATCAAAAGGAAATAATATAAGATGTTTTAAGATAGATACAAGATAATGGGGTAATGATATTGTATCATTAATTAAAGGGACCTGAAACATTGAAATTAATCAAAGCAGCAATTCCTACTTATACGAATATGTGAGAATTTTATTAAATATAAAATATATAATTTTTATTCAGTTATGAAATCAGATGATGGTCTTATATTAATTTAGAAATATACATCAGAAGATGATTGTTTGTTTTGTTAGAAATATGGGAGATTGCCAATTATAAAGATAAATTTTGCTCCACTATTGAATAGAGTATATAAAATTGTAAAATCATTTTACAGGCACTTTATACAAAATATTCATAATCTTCATGGAAGGGTAAAAAATTTGAAGATTTCTTCTCAACAAAGTCAATCAAATGGGTAATATAATTTAAAGATAAATTAACATATGATGATCAAGATGAGTTTTTAAAGAGGTATGTTATAAAAATATCAATTTTATAGATATTATCCTAAGAGTGATCAATAAAATAAATTAGATTAACTGTTGGAATATTATAAATATCATAAAGATATTCCTCGAATGTTTTTACCAAAACTCTCAGATTTAGCTATTTATTTTTATGAGAAAAAGAAGTATCTTTATATTTGTATCTAATTTAGATAATTGGAGTATAGAAAAATTAAAATAATGCTAGGTATTCCTATAGATGATGCTAGTAATTATACAGGTATCTATTCTATAAATTATTATTAGAATGTGAGAAATTAAAAGAAGAAATTAAAGTACTTAACAGTATTACATAATAAACTCAAGTATCCAGTCTTTCTCTATTAAGAGATATGTTGAAATAAAAGGGAAGTGAAGAGATTGTAGTAATTGATTCTTTAAACATTAGAATATCGATGCTACTTGGATAACTATGGCAAATCATTAATAGACTAAATCTTCATAGTCATCAAATTTAAAATTATTAAAGTAATTGATATCTAAAAATACTTAATTTTATAAGCATAAATTAAATACTAATTATACTGGATTAAGTAAAAGAAATACATAGAATTCACCTTAATAAAACATTCATCTCAAAACTCTCTCTAAAGATACTTCTTAAAAATCTTTACTATCCTCTCATAAATTAATAAATAATAGTAATGGAGATAGTGAATTTCAAAAGTTTTTAAAATAATAGATGGTAGGAATCAATCATTCAAATCCTTGTAATCAAAATAATGTTAAATCAACAACAAAACCTATATAGATATCTAATTATCAATCTAAATAAAATAGTATTCATCATCTTATTAGTACAAGAAGCATCTCATCTGAACAGCTAAAATTAATTTAATCACAGTAAATACTAAAACCTAACCACCACACTAATAATATCAATTAATAATCATAACATAAAAAAAGCTAAACTTAAACTCATTATACTGAAATCAATTCTCCAAATAAACATAATAAACAAGCTTCAAATAAATTGTATACTAATATAGGATTAGACTTTAAATAAGCCTTAACTCATACAAAATCTACAGATAAGTTATTTAAAGTTTATACTTCGTAATCATCAATTCCTTTATCAACTAATATTAATATTAACATAAATTAGTTAAACATGAACAATCTAAATATTAAATCTTCATTTTAGCAATATAAGGCTATGCTCGAAAGTCCAAAAGTTAACCCCAAAAAGAAGACTTAATCTAATGTAGAAACCTAAAGAATTCATAATGCTAGTACTTAAAAAAGTACTACTTCTTTTAAAAAATCATAAATCTCAGTTTAATAAATATATGCTTAAAAAATCAAATAAAAACATAAGATTTAAAATAAATGAAGACTCTTATTTAATTATTATATATAAATTTAATTGGGTCATTTAAGTATTCATCATATCATGACACTACCAAATTATAACAGTTCAATATCATTTATTTAATATAAAGTAACTGGGTAGATATGAGTATAATGAGTTTGACTTATAAATTACAATCGATAACTTCTATATGCATTTCCACATAATGAAATTTTACAAACTATATATACCTTTAGATATTTTCTACTATTTGAACTTTTAAAGTAAATATCTCTATCATTTCTTTTGAATATCTACTTGTTGAGTAATAAAAATTCCTAGTTTTTGTAAATACCAAATATTTTTATTCTTTTCACTTATAATTCATCAATTTCACTATTATAAAAATTTTAGTAATCAAATTAGCTCACTTTGATATGTATTAGAAACAAATTAATAATCTGAGGTTCAATAAACTTTATTTTAAGACTCTCTGTTTCATGAAGCTAATAAAAATCTCCATTCATGGTAATTGAAAATTGAGCTTCATCAATCAGAATTTTAGGATTAATATGAAAACTCTATATAAAAGATTAGTTATACTGATGGTTGATGTATTTCGACACTAACATTTTCAGGATATGATAGCTTTTAAATCATTAACTATTTATCATAGAATTT